AATACTTTGTCAAAATAATTTCTTAACAAGTGTAGATTTGTTAAGAACGGGTTTCTTCCCTCAGACACGCCAGCTGCAGTGAGAACTCTTGAGTTCACATTAAGCTCTGGTTAAATTGGGAAAGATCCTTTTGTACCCTGGGAAACTGTTACTTTTGTGGTAGATGAACATGGTCCTTTTTGGAGAGCATGCAGGTAGGCTTTTTGTAAGCACATCCCTACTGCAGCCACTCTCTGCTTTAACATGATACAGAGTTTGGATTTGGCAGTCTTTGGGCTGAATGAGACTGAAGGGAGGATCCCAACTGCACATCTGTCTCCTTGCACTTGGAATTTCTAAACAAAGCATTATTTATTCACCCAAAGGTACAAAGAAAATGTGAAAGGCATGTACCCTTATTTTGGGTTTCCTCCTTGCTTTTTGCCTATGTTCATCACCCGTCCTACGCAAACTCTGTCCTGTTGCTCCTCATTCCTCTAAACACTTGATTTTTTTCTCCTAATCCTAAGCTTAGTGCTGGAAAGAGCAATCATCCTTAGTCTGGCTGTGGCAAAGTCATTGCTTCCACATAAACGTTGCCAAGATTTGCACTTGTGATTTCAAAGTTCTGGTTTTTCTTCCAAACAATATTTAATTTTAAGGGATGGAATATATTGATCAGGGCTGATTTAATTTTTATAGGAAAGAGGTGTTCTAGAAAGTCTTCACAAACTTGCTTTTTTAAAAATATTATTATTATGTAAGAAGTTTTGTGATTTCTTGACTATTCTTTTCTCAGCCGAAGGCTTTTATGAGCCATGTAGGTCTTTACAGGTGACCCAAGGGATTTTCTGAATTGTGGAGGTGTTTTTTTTTTTGTTTTAAATCACTCCATATACTTATTGCTGGATATAAAAAGTGCATACAAACAATTCCTGGAAATGTATTCCTTTGAAAATCTAATAGCAAAGCTCTAGAAAATTTTTCGCTTTGGAAAAGATACTAACTTGTTATGAAACAAGGGAATAAATCATCTTAGATGAAGCAATATTTAAAATAAGAGTGAAGAAAGTGAAAAACTCACCCTTATTAAAAAGTCTATAATTGTACTTCTAGCACTTAGTAATTACGCAGTGCATAGGTTTCTCAGGCATCTGCAATTACTATTAATTTTTTTAAGTAGAATTATAAATATATAAAAGAATCATTCTTATCTGTAGTTTTCTACTTAGAATATAATAGCTACAGTTTTGCACATGTAACATGCAATACAAACACCAAACCTGAAAATTGATTTTTTTAACAATGGTAACTGCAGCGTATTGTCAAAATATTTTCTGGTTAAACTTTGTGTTAGAAAGTGAATAAAAGTGGAGTAGAGACTGCATTTTAACTTCAGAACAATTTAATTAACTGCAGTATGAAGGGAGTTGGAAGCACAGTGACTGGACCCAGCCATTGCAACAAAGTTTGTGGGAAAGTGATTGGAAATTGTATATAAGATTTGGGTTATTTTCATTAGTTTAGTAAATCATTTAAGTTGGCTGATTTCTTACGCAGATTAGTGTTATCATATTTAGTACTTAGCCACATTCTTTTTGTTCATAGGATTCTTTTTTCTCTGCAGTTTTGTAAAAAAAAAATAAATCATATGGTTATCCATAATTTCCTCACCTAATGTTATAACTTTTCTCATTTATTAAGTGTTTAGTAGTGATTTTTTAAGGACAAGGAAGGTGAGGCTTGGTTAAATTATATAGAAACACTTCTCATTTTATTAAGCAGATATCTTTTACCAACATTTAATTGTTCATGCAGTTGCTAAAGGTTACATAATATGCATTTTTAGCCACATATATTTACAAATATGGCATCTGGTAATTTTTCGTTGCATGTTAAGAAGTCTCATAACCCTTGTCCGATAATTGCATTGGGTTCCTTAAGCTGTGTGCAGCATCCCCAGCGTGGGAGCACCTGAGAACCATTCTTCTCCCCATTCCTATTAACTTCAGCGAACTTCAGGTCAGATTCTCTTTTAACAGTTTGTTGCAAGATGTTTTTTCTGAGTACAAACACATTTTAGCAGTGAAAGAAGCAGAAGTTCTTAATTTATGCCACAATTTCTTTTTCCATCCCTGAAGAATTAACATTTCTGCTGCTTTCCTTTCCTTTCCTTTCCTTTCCTTTCCTTTCCTTTCCTTTCCTTTCCTTTCCTTTCCTTTCCTTTCCTTTCCTTTCCTTTCCTTTCCTTTCCTTTCCTTTCCTTTCCTTTCCTTTCCTTTCCTTTCCTTTCCTTTCCTTTCCTTTCCTTTCCTTTCCTTTCCTTTCCTTTCCTTTCCTTTCCTTTCCTTTCCTTTCCTTTCCTTTCCTTTCCTTTCCTTTCCTTTCCTTTCCTTTCCTTTCCTTTCCTTTCCTTTCCTTTCCTTTCCTTTCCTTTCCTTTCCTTTCCTTTCCTTTCCTTTCCTTTCCTTTCCTTTCCTTTCCTTTCCTTTCCTTTCCTTTCCTTTCCTTTCCTTTCCTTTCCTTTCCTTTCCTTTCCTTTCCTTTCCTTTCCTTTCCTTTCCTTTCCTTTCCTTTCCTTTCCTTTCCTTTCCTTTCCTTTCCTTTCCTTTCCTTTCCTTTCCTTTCCTTTCCTTTCCTTTCCTTTCCTTTCCTTTCCTTTCCTTTCCTTTCCTTTCCTTTCCTTTCCTTTCCTTTCCTTTCCTTTCCTTTCCTTTCCTTTCCTTTCCTTTCCTTTCCTTTCCTTTCCTTTCCTTTCCTTTCCTTTCCTTTCCTTTCCTTTCCTTTCCTTTCCTTTCCTTTCCTTTCCTTTCCTTTCCTTTCCTTTCCTTTCCTTTCCTTTCCTTTCCTTTCCTTTCCTTTCCTTTCCTTTCCTTTCCTTTCCTTTCCTTTCCTTTCCTTTCCTTTCCTTTCCTTTCCTTTCCTTTCCTTTCCTTTCCTTTCCTTTCCTTTCCTTTCCTTTCCTTTCCTTTCCTTTCCTTTCCTTTCCTTTCCTTTCCTTTCCTTTCCTTTCCTTTCCGACAAATTCCCCTTGCAGAATCAGTGGGAGGCATTGTTGTGCAGAGTGTGTTACAGTCTCCTAAAAGTAGATGAGGGAGCAACAGAAGAACAGCTGACACTGCAATAAAGAGCGTGTCTTTCCTTGATCCCATTTTAGTGGTATCATAAACTTGATTGTGGCAGTTCAGAAGACGAGAGGATGTTGGAGGGAATGCACTGTGAAGTCTGACTGTATGATGTGGGTACGGTAAAGACTTCATAAAAGTAGAAGAAATTGGTTTTGCAGAGCATCTGTGAACTTGTAAAGAGAGACTGATGAGGTATGGCTGATGGGCCAGAGATAAGGACACAAGGAAAGGAAGGTCCTGGCCTAACATCCTCAATAAACGACATCTGGGCCTGAGAAACAGCACCAGAACCTGGACTCCCCCACAGCAACATGTGAGACTGACCTTAACCGGTGTTGCCTATTTGCAGCAGATGTAGAGTTAATTTAAGGTAGCATGTAGGTCCTGATTAATAAAGTCACATATTGGGTGACCAATGGCATCATATATCACCCTATTTGTCTTTCAAGTGTTATGGTAAGCTAGAATAGGTATTCACCCTTGCTGTAGGAATTTTCTTACCCACCTCCTTTGAATCAGCCGGTGAGTGGATGGAAAGCATTGCCTTCGCTGTCAGCTCTAACTGGTGTGTGGGATGGGGCCCTGTTGGTGTGCAGCAGGGAGGGTTGCCTGCTCTGGCTTGCTAGAGAGCTGCTTCTGTTCTTCTCATCAGTAATCTCTTCTGAATTTGCAGACCATCATTTGGAAAGAAGTCTGGATTCATCCACAACTTTGGAGATGATCAGACTTTGCACTTCCTGTATTCGCTTTGCTTTTCCAGCCTTTATGGTGCTTTAGAACTTCTTCCTTTATCCACTTATTCCTTTTGCCTCAAAGAGACTAGGTTTAATTTTATTCATGGTCAAACTCTTAGTGTTTTGCAGACTGGCCAGCCCAGCAGAACCCTATTGGGGCCACTGTGTGCTCTCCTTGTACAAACAATAAAAATGATTGGGAAAGGTTTCTATTTCTGCCCCGCCAGATTTAATTCTGACAGGTAGCGATGCATGCCACCCGCCCACACACATGGTATAATAATGTCCTTGGAAACAGTTATACATCACCATATCGAGCAATATAAGACTTGTTGGAAACAGACTACTTGGTAAAACAGACTGTTGGTTTGATCCAAAATGTTAATTCTGAAATAGTGTGGGTTTTTTTTTCTGGAAATCCAGCATTTTACAATGGATTTTTTTTTCTTGAATACTTTTAGCTGCAGTAATGTGACTCAATGGTAGCAGTTCTTCAAAACACAAAAAATTTAACTATGCAGCATAACCACTGAGTGCCACTTCACAGAGGGAAGGAAATTGGCCACCTTGGATTTAACTAGCTTTGAACAAAAGTCCAGTAATCAATACAGCAGAAGTTCAAAAGGTGATCACTAGCAACCATGGGGCCTATTGGAGTGATTTCTGCATTGATCTTTCTGCTTTATATTCCAGCTTGGCCTGGTTGATTTAACTGTGTTCTAAGTTATTTGTACCAGGATTAATTTCTCTGAGTAACATTTTTTGATGCCTTTTTGATTTTAGTGGAGTTTAAGTAAGAGTCAGCAGAACTCTTCATCACACAAAAAAAATTGTCAACGGAGTTGAAGTTCGTTCTGAGCTTTTTGAGAACTGCAATTTTGGAGATGACTTCCAACATTTTGGTATTCTCTTTAGCACACATTGCCTGTGTGAATGAACAAGTGTATCAGATGAGTATCAAAGCCTTAGAAGAAGGGAAAGATTATTGTACTCTTTTGAATCCTTTCCTTTTAATCCTGCAGTGCTGCTTAGAAAACAGGTTTGGTGGTTGTTTTTTTAGAGAATAGCTAGCTGGCTTCTTCCACTGTACGAAATTCTCACACTTAGTTGTCCAAAGGTCCCATCACATGTTGCAGCGCCAGAAATGAAAAATGATCTATCACATTAGCTCTTGCTGATACTTTGGTAGCTTTAGCTCATCGCAGAGAACAATTGTCAAACTGTAAGGCCCATGAAATATGAAGACAATAGCTTCTATAGGTACCTAATATAAAGCACATGAAAGTTTTATATAGTATATTGCTGCTATGTCACTATGCCAACCAGAAATTAGCCTTGTTATTTCTTTAGCTGAAGAACCATTTTATAGCACAGCCTCAGTGACTGAGGCATAAAAGCCCACATGCAATTTTTCAGATTCAGTTTTAAGGTGAATTTAATGCAGAAGTGGAATGTAGATCTTGGAAAATAAACGTCTCTTCTGAGGCATGGAGGGGAGCAGACTCATGTTCCTTTCAGGCTTTCAGGAGACCAGTGTCCTCAGGTAAGCAGGACAGTGGCTGTCTTTTTTAGGTTGCAGATGCTCTTGTGAGGCTTTTCATTTTCTGTAAGTGGGTAAATGTCCACCCCAATAACCCAGACTGGTTAGCATCTCTGTGCTACCATAGTATCAGCAGTAAGTAACAATAATCAACCAACAGTGCCACATGCTAGCATTTTTCTACTGATTTTACTTACTTCCAGTATGTAAGGATGCAACACAGAAGCAATGCACCTCAGAGCCAGAGCTAAGGAGCGCTCACTCATCAGGTGCCAGGTAGTGTAGCCTCCATTTCTCCTCTTGGGAAAGGGGTCTGCTACCACACATGCATGTTGTAGGATTTCCATCCAACCTAAATATACATTACAGTATTTAAGGGGATTGTACGAACATCTAAGCCTGTAATAAATTTATAAAAAGGGATTACGTTGTCGTCTATTCATGTATTCAAATTCTACTAACTGTATCCAAGCCCATTGTACCACTTACAGCTCCCAAAAATTCTGCCAGATATTTAAATGGTTACAAACCTTCCTCCTTAGCAGAAGCATATAATTTTTTTTTCTTAAAGCACACCTTAAAAAATTCGTTTTGGACATTTCCTCTAAAGAAAATCACCATTTTTCTTTAAGGACTTGAGAGTTATGGTTGAGGATCTATGAAAAGAGAATTTAAATTTCAGATCAAAAAAGAGTTTTAATCTAGATTTAAATTACTTGTGTGATTTCAGCAGACTGTTCAACCATTCAAACAATACCTGTTATAAAGTACCCATCTCCAAAATTTTTAAATGCTTACGCATTTGTGCCATTTTATATATAGTTTACAATAAAAAGCCCGGTATTTTCTTGTTTCCCCTGGCTAATCTATATTACTTTTGGCATATCCTACAACACGGCGTCCGAATTTGCTCTCAGGAGCATTTTTTGTCTTTGACTCCGGTTTAGAAAAACCGTGGTGGCTTAGTGAAGAACCAGTGCCATCTAGGGGCTGAAAGGAAGGGAAGTGTTCAAAACACTAAATACAGCCTGGGAATAATAGGAACGAGGGACAGAATAAAGGGAAATAACGGAAGAAAATCCAGCTACGGAAGAAAATAGTGGGAAGCACAGCACAGACACCCAAATCCTTACAGCTTGGGCTCCTCAGGGCTGCCCTGGCTTGGGGAATGGTGGGGAGGAAAGATAGCTTCTGCCTACCAAACCTGCCTTTGCTTGGTGTCATCTGCTCAATGCTTCCCCAAACCAGGCCCTCCACAGAGCTGATTGATCGGGAGTGGGAACGCGCAGGAGGAGATGGGTCCTCAGCTGCATCCAGACATCACACCTCTTGGTATTTAAGAGTATTACACATTTTAAGAAGATGCTTATAAAGAAATAGAAAAACACCAAACAGCTTTGGGATCACATCTTTAGAAAATTCTGATCTAAGCTCTGTTTTTGATATATATATATTTTTATTCCTTTCTTAAAGTTATTTTGGTATCCTACTTCCGTTTATCATGTTTTTGAGTAAAATTCGGGAAAAGACACCTTACATCATAGAAAAAAATGCATGTTCTGTGTCGAGAATGATAGCAGTTACTCGAGTTTCCACTCAGTGCACTCTGAATGTGTTGCATTTGAACTCCCTCTGGTGGTATAAAGGTTTTGTAAGTACACAAAGGTTTTGGAAGCACTTGTGGAGCTTCAAATGACATAGTTTTAACAATGAGCTGATAGTTTGTGATTTTTCTTCATACTTCCTAAAAATGGCTACATTTACATGGCAGAAGATGGGGGGGGAAAGGCAAATATATAAAATTTCTGTAGAGTTTTTTTTTTTTTTTCATTTTGTAATGCAAAAAAAGAAGTTGGTGATTTTTTTTCTCACTCGAGACACAAATGCATAAGGTTACCTTGGGTTGCAGTCATGCTTTACATTGGCAAAGCACAATTATAAAACTTTCTCTATTGTCCGCAGTGGAACTACTTTGAAAGAGAAAGAAGCCAGACAAGTTGAGAAGGCTGGGGACCACTCTAACTGAGTGTCTGGGGTTGAGGTAAAACAGGACCGATTTTGTTCAGTAACTTTGCTTCTTAACTGGGCCTCTTCTAACTACTGAAATTAACAGCACATTGTGCAGACACTGTTCTCCCTCAGAGTGCCATCGAATGGTATGCAGAGAGGCACTTGCTTATGCTTATTGCTATAACAGCCAAGGGCAGATAATTTTGTTATATGCCCCGTTGGAGGGTTGGTAGCGGAAAAGCGTAGAGGTGTGGCACTTGTGGGGAGAAGTGGACAGGACAGGTGACCCAAAACTGACCAACAGGGTATTCCATCCCATCTGCCTCATGCTCAGTATAAAAGCTGAGGGATCAAAGGGTCAGGTGTCTTTCATCAATGGCTGGTGCCTGAGGAGGACTCTGCGTGTTTGTCTGCCTTTGATCCCGATCCTGAATCTAGATCTAGAAACCAGTTCCTGTCAGTCACTGAGTCCAGTCGGGACTCCCCCAGTGCCAGCCAGTGATGTGATTATCATCCTGGGAGCTTGATACAGTTTTGTATATATTTCATTATTTTCTTTTAATTTTATTATTAATATTTCATTAAAGTAGTTTTGTTCCTTCTAAACTCATACGTCTCTTTTTCCCTCCTCTGCCTCTCTTTTTGAAGAGAGGTGGGGGGGAGTATCTGTCAGTCCCATCTGGGGTGCCCCATGTCCCCAGTGGCCGGTCCGTCCCAAACCACGACAGGTTTATTGGCTCCCAACGTAGGGTATGAACAGAGCTCAACCAGAGCTGTGATAGATTGCCTGAATCGGCTGGTCTGCAAGATCCTTACTCTTACCTGAGAGCAATTAACCCTCAGACAGAGTTAATTAAGGAATCATTTCCTTGGCATGGCTGGGCTGCTCATGTAAGCAGCTGCTTACCAGAATGAGTAAAAAGGTCTCAGTCTGCTTCTTTTTTAGTGAAAATTTGTCTACACTGTACATGTGAACACGCAGAGTCAATATTAGACCAAATGTTGGTCTGTCAAATTCAAGGCTGTAAACTTCTGCTTCATATGCTGTCTGCACTGGATGAATATCAGGTCCTTTTTGCTCTTTGATTAATTAGTAATTAATTTAAGTACCTGTTTTTTCTAAAAGATGGGATGCTATTCTGTTCAATTATTTATGTAGTTGAAATTGCTGAGGCCCCATAGGAATGGTCTCTGGAAAAGGTGTTTTTCTGTATTTCTAGGCTCTGGAAATTCCAGAATTTCTGAACTCATTGAGGAAAACTCCATCTGCTTAAATATAACTAGATAAAACTCAGTGCATCCTTCATTTAAGAGGAAGTACCTATTGCAAAAATCTTTCTAAAAATATTTTACCTAAAAATAAGGTATTAATCTGCTTTAGAAATGGGAATACTTAGTTTGGCTAAGCACAAGAAAACTGTGGAGTATTTTGTTCTCAGAAGTTTTATTAAAAAAAATAATCATTTAGCTGATTAAATGGAGCAGAAACTGGAAACACGCCAGGGGAGAAATAAAAGAAATTGATTCTTAGAGACTTAGGAATTAGGAAAATATTTGAAATGTCTTTAGGCTGGCTTGTAGAGTCAATCTAAACAAAACATTATTTCATGAAATAAAATGCTCCTTTCTCAGGATGGACTTTTCCTTACCAGATGTGCCAAACAGGAGACACCTGCAGGAACCATCCAGATGTACTACAGGGATCACAAATCTGCCCATGTCACAGTCAAGTGCATGGACAGTGTTTTTAAGACTTCAGCTTGTTATGCCGGTGACACACAGCCCAAACAGCAAGTCAGGGAGGAGTTGAGTGACATTTCATGTCCCATTAAGTTTTTTAAATGTGTATATATAAAAATATATGTATATATCAGTCTAGATATATAAATATATATTTGTATATAATTATATATTATAATTGATATATCTGCTCTAAGCATTTGTACATGGCCTGTTATCAACTGTTCAGAACTAGGAATTAGGGGGCAGATACTGGATTTCCTGGTACCTTTCAGAGTGAGAACTTCTTGAAGCTGGATTGTGAATTTTCGTGATGTTATGTGGATGTGTGTATGTCAGCACCTCAGTTAGGTCAGGAAAGCGCTTTTGAAGTAAATCTTCTGATTATTCCCCCTTACCACCCTTTGATCCATTCTGCAGAGCAGCCTACAAACATGTCAACTGAAGTCCTTTTGGATGAACTGCAAGCAGCACGTGCAATCAAGGAGCACAGCTAATGTGTTGCAACAGCTAATGCAACTGTGCAGCCAGACCACAGCTAGTCCAGGGTAGAAATGCGCTCAGCATCGACTCTGGGCTCTTAACACCAGTCATAAGAACAGATCTGTTCTGATTACACTTAATGTTAATACAGACAAAGCCCAGTGTCTCCCTTCCTGGGCCCAAACACAGAGATCACTTTAGCCTGACATCCTATGATTCTCCTCTGATGCTGTGTCCTTCCCCTGACATCTGCCTGCTTCTTCCTGATGTGCTGCTCCTGACTTCAGGGCAGCTTTATGCTGTGGAACAAATCATTAAAGAGGTGCTTGAAAGCCACTAAAATACAACTGATCGATAGAGGTGCAAAACTTAATGGGTAAGTGATGTGGAGATGACAGCGGAGGTGCTGTTTTGAGGGCTGCTTTGGACACCCAGTGCTGCAGTGTATCTGGAACATGAAAAATAGCATGGCATGATCTATCGCTTACATTATGCCAGCTTTCAGGGCTAGAGGCACTGCAAAAGCTGATATGGAGAAAAACACCTTGCCTGACCTGAGTGCCTAAATCCTCCGCTGTCAGAGCAATCTGCTGAGGGAGCCCAAGAGAGCACAGAGATTGGTAGCGGTCAATGGCAGCTCCAGGTTTGGGGTAGTTGGCTCAGGAGTGGCCAGACAATTGTGCTGTTGCTGGACAGTATGCAGGCTAATTTTAAAAAAATTAATAGAGAACTCATTGGCCTGAAGGAATAGCTGGTTTTCAGTGACCAGAGGTCCCAGTGTGACTCAGCCACTGAGGGAAATGTGTACTCAGGGTTTCTACCTGAAGGGGTGCTTAGTCACACACAGTGTTACTCTCTGGGTCTCTATAGCTTGCTATATATAAACTATAGGGAGCTGTTAATGAAAAGCCATGCATGTGTGTCAGAAGCCAAGGTCTTGAGGAGATTTCGTGCTGACAGCCTACAACAAGCTGATGGCCTGGTTCTGTTTAATCACATTATTTGTGGGGGGGAAAGCTGAATACCCACTTATACCCTGTTCCCTCCTACCTTGGCTTATGAGGCCTTACTGCCGTCACACTGGCTCTAGATAAAGAGTATACAATATCAAGCCTATGGGTCTGAAGACTATGTGGAGGTATGTACCTCGCAGATGAAAGGCAAGCTCGGGCTGCTGACTAAACCATCTGGATGCAAAGTGACCTGTTGCATCTCACCTGACACCTGTGGTGCTGGATGAGGATGTTACACAGGGCCCCAAGCACTGAGGGTTCCCTTTACCTATCCACACTGCCACGTCTGGATAAAAAGGATGCGAAGGAACTTATGGATGCCACATGGTTTTACATGTTGATCGCACACGCGCAATCACTTACTTGCATTGCACATACCTTCTTTTCTTCACTATGCTTTGTGGTGTGTGCTGCTGTATTAATTTTACAACTACTTTATAATTTTCATAGTTTTAAGTGGGTTATATTTTCCTGCTGGTCAGCTTTAGGTGTTGTACCTGATTAGTTTTATGGCCTGTACGTGTTAGCTTCTTTTCTCGGTTTCCATGTGTGGGCTGCCTGTTACCAGTGTAAGCGATAATGCTTCGAGTATCTCCACTTTACAGGCCCCTGTCAATTAATGGAGTGCCTGGGCTCTGTGCTTGAGGCTGTTAGCAGAGCTACTTGTTTGCCATCCTCTACTGCATCACAGCCCCTTCTTGGTCCCAGAAGTTTGCCCATCCCCGCTCTCCGCAGAGCAAGGCACCTGGTATTATACAGGTGTATCCTCCTGGTACTCTAACCACAGCCCTGAGAATACAGCCCTGGTCCATCTTGCTCCCCCCCAGACAATCACACACACACACAAAATTTGCTGCGTGCTTTTGGGCAGTGGCCAACAGTTCAAAATGCTGGGCTTAACACCAGGCAGGGTGATACAAACAGCATGAGGATGAGGCACAAGTAGCCAGAAGATGCCTCTGTGGGACTGACTTTACTTATGCACGGATATCTGCAGCTGTGCCCCAACTCTACAAAGTGGCCCAGACCAGGATGATCTGCTCAGCAGCACCTGTAAGTGAACTAAAACCACGAGCCGCTGTTGTGCTTGCCTGTACGCACCATACTGGGGAAAATGGCTTGGGGAAAAGCTGTTGTGTGCATGGCTGTGAGCCTCAGCACTGGGGTCTTTTACTTGTCTCCATCTGGAGAAGGTTTACTCTTTCATTCCTGGCCTGCCTGGCTTAGCTGGGAGCCTATAAAATGGTTGCTGTTAGGTAAAGTAGTAGGCAGTAGCAGGGCTGGGGTTGTCTCAGCTATATTGTCTTCTTGGGAAGCTCATACCCACACTGAGGGTGCCACTGCCCATCTGGATCTGCAGATCATCCTGGATTTGCTTCCAGCTGGAAATGCAGGTACACTCAAGAGCAAAAGTTACTAACTAAATGGGATTAGTTACTTTGCTTTTTCTTATAGAAACATCCAAAGCAATTTCCATCAGGCAGGATAGTGGTGGCCTGACTGCAACTTCTCTTGCTCCCACTTCAATATCATGAAAAAAGTCCACCTTTTAAAAATTTTAAAATTCTATTATATTTAGTTATCTAATCAGTTTTTCTGTTTTCTCTGCTTTCCTCCTGGAAGTCTATATCTAACATCTGCAGTATCAGGTGCAGCTTACAGTTGTGCTGTGTGGAAAATGGATTTATTTTTTATTTTACTCATTTTCATACATATAAAATACTTCCTTAGAGCAACTATACTGTCTCGAGGTGTGACACTGCTAAATTTCATTATAGCTGGTTAAGCATGGGCTAAACATGAGCATAAACCCCTCCTCTGGAAAAGAAGTGGAAATGTTTAAGGGGAGCAAATTTGTTGAGATATTACCCTCTGTTGATGCTCTGGGAGCCAAAGTTTGGCTTCTGTAGGAGTGGCTGAGGGAACTGGGGTTGTTTAGCCTGGAGAAAAGGAGGCTGAGGGGAGACCTTATCACTCTCTCAACTACCTGAAAGGAGGTTGTAGTGAGGTGGGGATCAGTCTCTTCTCCCAAGTAACAGGCGATAGGACAAGAAGAAATAGCTTTAAGCTGTGCCAGGGGAGGTTTAGGGTGGATATTAGCAAAAATTTCTTCACCGAAAGGGTTATCAAACATTGTAACAGGCTGCCCAGGGAAGTGGTTGAATCACCATCACTGGAGGGATTTCAAAGATGTGTAGATGTGGTGCTTAGGGACACGATTTATTGGTGGTTTTGGCAGTGTTAGGTTACCAGTTGGACTCGATGATTTTAAAGGTCCTCACCAACCTAGACAACTCTGTGATTCTATAGAGCACCAGGTCATCCTTGCTGACCAGCAGTGCTGAAGATATAACCTCTCTCTCTCCTGATGAATGCTGGTTTTGGTCACATTTGGACTCCCCCAGAATGTTCTGTTTTCCAAACAAAACGGGTGTATGATGGAAGAAGAAATACGTATCACCTGTTTTAGTGAGGAAGTTCTGCAAGATCAGAAGGGGTATTGCTTACTACTCAGCACCCTCCCCCGGCTGTCCAGGCTCAACTTCCTCCTCCAAGGAGATGCCCACCTGCAACGCCTGCAGCAAGACAGGCTCCAGTCTGACCTCCCACACATGGCACGGACTCTGAAGACAACACAGCCATGCAATGGGAGTCTTGCCCGATGCATGAATTTGAGATGAGCACCTGCATCAGAGCTGGGCTCTCACTCAAGTCTCAGCCTATTCTGTGATTAGCAATCATGGGAAAACTTCAGGTGGTTTGGGAAACACTGAATTTTTGTCATATATTCATCCTACTTTAAAGAACAGGTAAGATGTGGCTTCAGAGTGAAAAGGACTTTAGGGAAGGATTGTTTTTACCCCTTGAGATGTTCTGTTTGCATTTTTATGTTTCTGATACAAAAAAAAAAAAGACAAGCAGCACAAGATAATTGGTAGTGAAATTTGTTAATAGATAGCACTTCTCCTATTTTCCCCTATGGACAACAGGAATTGAGTATGGGTAAGACAAAAGGATGAGATACTGAGTATGAGCAAAGGCATACTTTAAAATACTTCCTAAGAAATAGGAAGATTTTAAAGAAATCTCTTTCCATTGATCTAGATTAGACTGTTTGTTTGTTTTTTAAAAACTTGAACCAGATTATATTGTTCAGGGGCAGTTAAAATATTGGTATTCAAAACTAGATAAAAATGAAATACAAATCAGACTGTTCTTATAATCTACTGTTAATATCAGTTGAGCAGCTCAGAGACACATTTGCTGTAAAGGTACAGGCTAGGCTTTGCAGAAGCACAGTAAATCTACTTCAGTGTCAATAACATTTCTGGGGTAAATAGAAACCCCAATAGGTGATGAGATAAATGTGACTGCGTAGCAGCTTGATCAAAATGTTCAGATGGTCGCTATCAGGAGCAGTGCTCAAATCTGTGCCACTCTCTGAGGTTTGGCAGAGAACCATATGTCACTGTCATTCTTGAGTCCGAAGGGAAGGATCAGCGACCAACAAGAGCACAGAGATCTTGAAAATGTCTTTTGTGAGAATAATACTGTTTACTTTTAAAACTGTGTGCAGTCTTTACATGAGTAATGTTGTTGTGGACATGATGGCTTAAGGATACAAGAGATGTGGTGTGTGTGTACAGACGAGCAGCCTAAGCGAAGATAGGCATTGCTACTTGGCCCGTACAGAGTAACATCTTTCTCCATGGCAAGTGACTGACCATGGAGAAGCATCATTACAATCTACAAGACCAGCTGAAACAGCAAGCAGCTGGTGGGAAAAGTTAATTATCTATTGTTTCAGGCAGAAAGATGAAGTGAGAGACACCAGTTCCTGCAGCACACTTTTGTATGTGATGTGGAAATGGGTATTCCACACCTTTTGGGCTTGCTCTTTCAAAAGCCAGCTTCTATGTCTGGTGGAAGTCAATCATACACCCTCCAATGAAACAGAATTAGACACTGTTGTGCCCCAAAGGAATCCTTTCGTTTCCATGACAGCTAGACTGGGTGTTGAAATTGGCACTGACCATATCAGATAACATTAATGGCTTGTGAGAAGAAATTATTTAATCATCAGCCCAGTTAAATGGCATTATAATGTACCAGGGTTTGTATAATTGCTAAAACCTGCAAGTAAAATTTTTATTTGGAGTTTCTTTGGAAGGGTTTAGCAACAGAAACTTTCCACATGGCTATGGCAGAACTTTATACCACAGCAGTGGGAAGGGGCCTGGTGCAAGGTGTCTCAGGAGGCACCTGCAACCCTAAGCATGTGCCACACGAGTCCTTATGCACCTCATGAAACCCATCATCCCTTCCTGTGTAGGTGGAAATGTAATTCCTTAACTGCATTTCCCTATCTCTGTATTTTGTGGAGGGGGAAATACATAACAAAATTTGTGTTACACTGATTTGGCATCTGCTGCAGGGAGGAACAGGGAAGAGCACTAAGACGAGAAATGTTAAGTTACTGCAAGTGTTTTCCCAGTCTTCCACATTTTTTCAGTTTTCCTTAGAGGGTTGAAAGAGGAGAGAAGAGGAAAAAACCTCCTCATGCAATGCTTGCAAAAGTGAATTCTAGTGAAACTTTCATTGACCCTCGCTCCCCTCCCCTGGATAAAATTAAGCTAAATTTTGTTTTTGTTCTTTTACTTCCTCTGTCCTTCTCAAGAGAAATATTAATAAATCTTATCAGCAAGCAGAGCACTAGTATGTGAGAGACTGTTAAAAATAACCTAACCAGTGCATTTCAGGGACATGGTTTAGCGGTGATTTTGGCAGTGTTAGGTTGATGGTTGGACTCGATGATCTTAAAGGTCCCTTCCAACCTAGACAATTCTATGACTCTGATTCTATATGTTATTTGTGATTTGCAAGGAAGATGTCAGAATTATTCCCCATTTTCAACAAATCCATGTTCAACAAATCCTTTTCAAACCCTTAAAGTCTAACTTCTTCTGAAAATACTTCTGATTCTGTTTTCTAGGACCAAAATTAAAACAAAATAAAAAAAAAATCTGTATGTGCAAGGAGATTGCCCATAAACATATGATGAACAAAAAAGTAAACACCACTTCAAGTGCAAACAACAGCTGAAAATTTTGCAAACTACAGCTACCAACTACACTGTTAGGCTATTTTCCACCGCAAGTGGTTCTAAACCCATATCTGTGTTTTTTATTTACTAGTGAGGGCTTGCTCTTTCTTGCTTAAAGCCAGACTGTAGTCTCTCTTGCCTGTTCTCACAGATTTTGACTACATTATCTCAGTCCCCAGTGAAATGAAATAAGCTCAATACCTTGGTTTATTCCTTATCCTTTGGAGCTGTGCCCTTTTCAATATTGCTAAGTTTGCAAGACTTTTGGTAATCACATCCTGTGGATACGAAAGAGGCCGAGGAATCATTAAGCCGGACACCCAATGACACACCTTTATTGGTCTTTACAAATCACCAGTAATGGAGACAGTCATGTGGCTTGAATTCACAAAGCATTACCTTTAAAAAGGGACCTGCTGCAGCTCTGTGAGCTACAAACATAGGACAGAAAGCACATTAAAGGGAATAGATTTAAAAAAAAAAAAAAAAGAAAAAAAGCTGGGTAAGGGATGGAGAGCAGTGCAGGAAAGCTGAGAAATCTCCGCCTGTCCCCAGTTTGTGTCTTGGGCAGTGAGACAATCTGAAGCCCTGTGGGCTGTCAGAAGGAGGCTGGAGAGAAAGCACTCTCTGGGCTGGAGTCACTCAGGAAGAGCAGATGACTGTGAGAGGGACACAGGAGGGGACAGAGTGTTGGCTTTATGTGGTGGTTCTGCAATCTATCAGTTTACGAAAGCTCCTCCGGAAACTGTCATCCAGAAAGGCGTACAGGAAAGGGTTGAAGCAACTGTTGGCATAACTCAAGCTAGTGATGAAGTAGGAAATCCCAATGATGAGTGGAGTTTGTGGGATGTCTGTGGTGAGGGCCACCACTGTGCTAAGGTGATAGGGTGTCCAGCAAAACAGGCATACAGCCAGGATGACAACCACCATCAGTGTCACTTTTTTTTTGGCTTTGTCCAGGGCTTTTGCATTGCTATGGAGGTGCACGCGTCTCAATCTGCACAGCATGGTGGTGTAGAGGATGCAGATGGTGGACACTGGGATAGCAAAGCCTAAAATAAGGGAGTAGATACGACTGCCTTTCCACCACATGCTCTCAGGTTGGGGGAACACAAAGACACACTGGGAACGCCCCTGCTCTTTGTGTATCTTCGCAAAGACAGTGAAGGGCAGGATGATGACTGTGACAAAGGACCAGACGCAGAGGCTCACAATCTTGGCTGCTCGATAGGTGCGGTAGGACATCTTCCTAGACTTGGTGGTGGCTACCACAACCAGATAGCGGTCAATGCTCATGACAGTGAGGAAGTAGATGCTGGAAAAGGTGTTGTACTGGTCTATAGAGATGATAAGCTTGCACATGAACTCTCCAAAGGGCCACTGCAGGAGCAGGTAGTCAACAATGTTGATGGGTAGCACCAAGGTAAAGAGCTCGTCAGCAATGGCCAGGTTGAGGATGAAGATGTTGGTGACCGTTTTCATCTTTGGGGCTTTGAGGATTACATAGATGACAGCAGTGTTGCCTGTCAGCCCCACAGCACAGATTACAGAGTAGATGACAGGCACCGTGAGGTAGAAGCTGGGGCTCAGGGGGGGAACAGACATATTCAACCCCACATCCCCTCTTCCGGAACAGTTCCCGGGCCCATCCACACATGAGGAATTGGTCTCAGGGAGGGAGAAGTTCTCCATGGCCACAGGATAGGGTGGCCAGGCCCACTGGTGATGGGAACAACTTGGAAGTGAGGGAAGAAAGGCGAGACCACTGCTCTTCTCAATCCCGTCTCCTCCGGCGCATCCAGCCACCGAGATCTCCCATGTGCCACCCGCTGCTGACCTGCCAGGATCAAGAGGAGACCACAGAGGGCTTAGCCAGCAGTGCAGGGTCTCACCATCACCCCAAAGTGGGGATCCCCAAAGCAGGGATGGTGCTCCATGGGCTGCACCTTACTTCTGCTGGCACCGATGGGTACTGTGTGGGGACAGGACCGAGCCCTGGACTCCCCCAAAGTGACCATCCCAAGGTGACAGCGCTTACCTGGGAACCCAGTGGTCTGCCTCAGCCGCTTCCCCCACCGCCCCTCCACG